TATAAACAAATCATTGTTGGGAAGACTGGCCTGAAATCAAATCGGGAACACTATAATTGCACCGGTGTTGGCGCACCAACCCCCGTGTCGGTGCGGCAATGCCCATTAGCAACAGTGTATCAAAATAATTGGCCTAGACCCATCGAAAAACAAAGCCCAAAACCCAAAGCCTCACATGGATGTAACGCTGGTAGCGCTCATTTAGGCATTGGTGGTGCTATGCCGGCTATCAGACCAGCCCGACACGTATTGCATAATGGTTTCATTAAATGGGGCAACTACCGATTATTGAAAGTGGATGATTAGACCTGGCGTTGCTGGTGCCAATGCCCAAATTAGGGGTCGCAACGCTAAAAAAAAAGTCAGCAATGTTTCCATTAAATACCAAGGACCAATGATTAAGGGTGGTGTTGGCAGTGCTAACGCCCTCATTCGCCAAAGCAACAAGTGCATAAGAATGGTGGTGCGGAATTGGTAGTAGCAACGTTGGCGTTGGTAGTGGTATCGCTGCCTATCAATGACCCTAATCTTAAGTTGTTCACGGGGAATAGCGTTTACATTGATGAGAGGAAGCATGTTACCCATGTTGTAATAATTCATCAATAGTTACGGCATTGTTGACGTGACTTCAAAATGATTAATGACGTTAAAATGGTGACGTTGTTAGTGCCAATGTTGGCATTGCCACCAGTGGCGTTGCAAATCGATGGCTCAAATTAACTTGAAACCTTGCAACACTGTTGAGGGGTCGCTTTTCTGGATTCCTTGACTTCAATTTTAAAGGCTCTAGAGACTTCGAACCTTGGCCGAAACGCTCCCGCACTCGACACTCCACCTTGGATCCTGAAAAATCTAACCCTAAGCCCAATAGCTTTAAATCCTAATAATCCGAATACCCTCGTGCCTTAATTCCCCTAATGTCGATCACTCCTATTCAATGGACTTCGAAAGACTGAAAAAAGTTGGCACACCAAACATGATTATGATCCGACCATCGACTCCGAGTGACGTGACTGGAGGCCTGACTTGAGTTCAGCGTTCTTTCCTTATTCTCACTTTATTTCCGGTCTATTTCCAAAAGCTTTTCTAAACCTCCTCTTATAACGGAGAACTCCTTTTAAAACTTTCTAGCAGATTCTCAGTTTCCTCGCCTCTCAACTCGGCATTGCCGGTAATACGTACGAGAGCAGTCTGATGATCGGTCCCTTGACCAGATTACAATTCAATGAAACCCTTATCATCTACCTACTTATCAACGAGTTTTCATGCAGTGGATGTAATATTTCCTCCGTCGGAATTTTCACGTATAAACACAACCTTATACAAACCACAAGTAAATTTTATATCTTGTGTATATGTACCGTTTTTTAAGGACACATCTGACATATGAATTTTATCTGTTTTCTTTATACATCTGATTGAACTTAAATTTTGTATATTATAATTCTCATAGACCCACATATGTTAAAAAATATAAAAAATAATTAAAATAAAAATAAAATTATTAAAACATCTATACCAAATTTTGGTGTATTAAAACATATGTACAAATTATTATTATTTTATTTTACAGACGCATTGTAAGTGAGAAGTGTAGGTATCCGGAATTTGAGCTCAACATGTGTATAAAAAAAGAACACAATTAAAAGGGATTGTACAAATGAGACTAATTACTTTTGATATAATCCATTTTAATTTTGGGACTCCCCAGATTTCAAAGAGGCATTTTTTTGAACTAAAGATATATGATCAGAACTCTTCCACTTCCCCAAAAACAACAATTTACCCCGAACCCTAACCACTTGCACACTCAAGGCATTCTCAACATCTAAAAGTGAACGTAAACAAAAGAAGTGTCTATTATTACCCATCCATTTCACCCCTGGAGTATAGCGGGAGACCCCAAGTACGTCTAGCCCAATCACCTAGCCCAAAAAAATCATTGGACGGGGGAGAAGAACGAACCTACCACTGGACAACCTACCCACTTAATCGCCTCAGCAGCCTCCCCACGATCAAGAGAAAGAGATACTGCATCACCCTTTCTCCTGGTCCCACTGTCGTCTTCCTCACCTTCCTCCATCCAAAAACCCTTCAAAAACCACTATTCCCACTCATTCTTCATGTCCTTTACTCCTTCAAATAATACCCTTCAAAAACCACTATTCCCACTCATTCTTCATGTCCTTTACTCCTTCAAATAACATTGCTTTCCCTTCAAAAACCACTATTCCCACTCATTCTTCATGTCCTTTACTCCTTCAAATAACATTGCTTTTTACCAGCTTAGTCTAAAGCATTCCAGTATTTGTCCAAAAGATTGTATAAAATGAATTTGTAAAACACTTTGAAAGGGCTTTCAAGAGTGAGTGTATCTCGGGAGTCTCCTTTCATGGGGTACCCTTTTAAGTCTTTGTCAGATATTAGGTCACAGGCGTTAGAAGCACTAGTTTATTTATCTGAAGTAAAGAAGGCCGTTTTTTCGTTGGCTAGTGACAAGGAGTCGGGGCCTGATCGCTTCCAATTATTATTCTTCCATAAATTTGGGGAGATTGTTCAAGATGCTGTATATGAGCTGGTGCTTGAATTTTTTGAGCAAGGGGTTATTAATAAGAGTATCAATTCAACTTTCATTGCCTTAATCCCTAAAAAGGATTCTACTTCAAGTATTTATGATTTAAGGCCGGTTAATCTTCTTACAAGCTTGTATAAGATTATCTCTAAATTGCGCTCTTTGAGGCTGAAAGGGGTGCTCTCGGAGCCCATTTCTTGTATAAGATTATCTTTTGTTATATTATGATAGAGTAAGGGGGGAGCAGCAAAGGTTAAGAACTATATGGAAATGGAAAATTCCACTTAAGATACAAATTTTTTTTGTGGACATTATCACATAATAGAGTGTTGACGTTGGATAACTTGAAAAAGAGGGGTAAACTTATTGTGAATTGTTGTATTCTTTGCAAAGAGAATGAAGAGAATGGTGATTATTTATTCCTCCAATGTAATTTCACATTATCATTGTGGAGATGGGCACTTAGGCTTATTGGTGTCTCTTTACCTCTCCCTGGACAACACATACATATTATAGATCAATTGTCAATTCCACTTATTCCAAAGTAGATGCGTAAGAGGTGTGGTTGGAAGGAATAGGAGGATCTTTGATGGCAAATGTTTGGAGGCTGCATATGTAAAGGATAATATTATTCAAAATGTTTGGCAATGGCTGTCTATTACTGAAGAAGGGGCAGGTATTCTTAAGAAAGATGTTGTTCTCAATCTTTTTTCTTTGGTGCTTCTAAGAGAGCAACAAATTATCATCCATAGAAGTTGGATAATAGAAGTTGGATCCCGCCTGGTTGTTAAATTAAAATCTGATGGTTGCTTGTATGGAATCCTGGACATTTCAAGGGGCGGTTGTGTTAGATTAAAATTTGATGGTAGCTCATATGGGAATCTTGGATATTTAAGGGGGTGGGTGGGAGGTGGAAGGAGACTCTTTGAACGTTATCAATTGGTGCTCCGAGAAAAATTGCTTGTAGGTGATGATCTTTGCAAAAATCAATCGGTATCTTTTAACCATATTTATAGGGAAGTTAATGATGCGGATGAATTGGTTATTTCGGCCTTATCGAATGATTTCGTTGTTTCTTCTTTTTCGTTGTAACAGTCTCATTGATTTTTGAATAAAAGTTTCATGCGCTTGTCAAAAAAATAATGAAGAAAAAAAAATTGAATAAATTTCATGATCCTACTAGCTCATTATGGCTTGGTTTTGAAGTTAAATTTTTCTTGAATTTTAGTTTTTGAATTTAAAATTTTTCTATATAAATTTAAAGATAGCCAACCCGAATAGTTGGGATAATGCTCTAATATAAATCCAATGCATGTGTATCTACCAAGGCGCATTAAAATAAAGTATCAAAAGTATAAGTCGAATTTAAAATGATCAAAACCTCCCATGTCAGCGAATATATATTTTGATCAATTTATTTTTGTATAATATTTTTTTGAACTTTTTAACATGTCTCCGAAATTTTAGGTCAAACGTATTTGTAAAAATAATAAGAGGCAAATAGTATCCATACAAGCTGGTCACCAAAATTATCAAGACTGAATTTCGATGATATGCTGTTAGCTAATAAAAACTTTTCCAGTTTGTGTGCGCCTATTTGTTCACTCTCATGGTAAATTTAGAATTTTTTACATTTTTTTTTTTTCATACAAATACCTTTATAAATTTAAAAAAAAATATATTTTTATATATAATTTTTAAGTTTCATTTCTCCGTATAGCCAAAACTTCAAAACTTATCTCAAGGCAGATTCTATCAATTATATCAACCAACTTTACTCATTTACACCCATTTATTTTAGCTCAAATAAATTTTAAAAAATATTTGTTGCTAACCCCCGCCCTCTCCCGGTGAATCTCCAAAACTGCTCCCTCTTTGTATTTCCCCAAAACTCTCTCTCTCTCTCTCTCCCCGTTCTTACCTAAATCCCTCTCTCTTGATTGTGTGAGAGATTTTTTTTTAAAATTTGTTTAGGCTAAAAAAATAAAGTTGATCCAAAGGCTAGGGGCTATAATTGATAGAAAGTCTATGTGGCAAAATAAGTATTAAAACTTTTTTTTGTTGACTAGGTTTTGAAACCTTGGGTCGCTACGAAAAAATGAAACCTAAAATCCGCAGATATTTTCCCAATCTAAAATTGCAGCAACAATAACTTGCTTGAAAAATTCAAGAAATTGTACATTTGTAATTTAAATTGCTTCCAAAATTCAACCATTAAAAAAAAGAACTTCAACTTGAATTTGATTTAGGAGGGATTTTAAAACAGCAGAAATACTCTTTTCAAAGAATACAAGAATGAATTATAGTTAAAAGTCATTTTTAAATATAAATGAGTCTATACATCCATTTGATCCGAAATTTGGGAGGTAAATACAACTCCACCAGTCCACCTTGGGCACCCAAAAAAAAAGAGTAAAAAAGCATATTTCTTGCAACTTAAACATGACAAAAATCGCCCTTGTAACGTCCTGGTGCAGTTGTAACAAATGATACATACCTAAAACCTCTTATAATAAGATTCAAAACCCTAAACACACCTTCCCTCACCTAAGAGTGAAGAAACAAAGAACACAGAACAAAGATTACATGAACGGAAAAACTAACAATACTTCTGCATTTTTTACATTTCAAGAATGCCAAAAAATCAAATCAGAAAAACTTAGTGAAAGGAGAGACTAAAAAATACTTCCACCATCTTCACACTTCAAGAATCCCAGAACACAAATCCTGCACTGCCCACGAAAAGGATTGAAATGAACAATTCTGAAGTGCCAAAATTGCTTCCATGTGTTTAAAAAACATTTTGTGTTGTATCATAGTCCGCACACTCATCTTCTTTTAGTAGGTCCTCTTGTAGGAGTACATGGCAGCACGGAGCTTCTTTACTTCTTCTAAAGATTCTTCAAGCAGGCGGTCGACGTAAAAGCAGATTCCTGCACTACTGCATTCCCAAACATAGAATCATTCTCATGCACAAAAATGCGTGTGTTGGGGGGTTCGGGGGGGCAGAGAGAGAGAGAGAGAGAGAGAGAGAGAGGGAGGCCGCATGAATCTCATCCGATGCATAAATTATCTCATGATATGCAGAAATTAATGACTTCATACAGAGCCATGAAACTTAGCCGACCCCAAATTATGGGGATAAGGCTTGGTTGCTGATGATGATGATACTGAGCCGTGCACTTGAAAGAGTGGAATGGCGAATTGCATTCGTGTAGCCGACCCCAAATAGTTGGGATAAAGCTTGGATGGTGATGGTGATGATGATGATGTAGAGCCATGTACCACATTCCAATCTCTAGCACAACCTCTACTTGGTCTAAAAATTCTGCTGGTAGTCGTTAAATGTTGAGAATTGATAGGTTCTAGCTTCAACCTATGCTATGCCCAAGAAAGCCTCAGATCATGTGCCTAATCTAGTTGGCCCTAAGGGACCTCAGCATGGCCACCGCTTATTTCATTTTGAATTAGCTTGGATGGAGGACAAAGCAGTGATGGAGATGGTTATACAGGTGTGGGAAAATACTGCGGTGCATGGGTGGCAAGGCTTTATTTTTCCAAAAAAGCTACATATAGTTTAGGCTAACTTGAGAGATTGGAGTAAACAAACCTACGGGAGCAGTCCTCAGAAGGTGACTAATGTTTCGAAACAGACAGAAGAGTTGGACAAGAGAGAGCAGGTACAGCAAGGTCACACTTTGAAAAGAAATCTAGGTAGAGGACATTTCTTAGAGCAGAGATCATTGATCTGCGTAGAAAGGAAGAAATTTTATGGTTTCAAAGATCCAGATCAAAATGGATTAAGGCAATTGAAACACTTAAGAGTTCATGCCATCATGAATTCATACATGCTATCACGAATTCGAGGGGACGATCGAACTATATTCAAGGCATGAAAATTCATGGAGTTAGAGGGTGATTTGAGAAAACACTTACAAAGTAAAAGAGACTGCTGACCTCAAAGTGATAGAATTCCCTTCATGAGACAATCAAAGGACAGAGATATCACAATTAAGAAACCGTTCTCTTTAGTGGAAAGTAAAGAAGCAGTTTTTTGTTTGCCTAGATAAGGCTCCCAGCCCACATAGGTACCCTTGGCCTTCTTTAAAACTATTGGGAAATTTTTAAAAATGACCTATTATACTTTCAACAAAGCCATCACTTCTACGTTTACCTCTTTAATTCCTAAAAAGTTATGCCATTGAGTCGATTCAAGATATAAGGATTATTAGTCTATTAACATCATCATCCAAGCCTTATCCTAGTAGACCCCAAATAATTGCGATAAGATAATGATGATCCAAGCCTTATCCTTATTGTTTGGGGTCGACTCATTAGTCTGCTAACAAACTGAAAAAATTATTGCTGAAAGTGCTGGCTAATAGGCTAAGATCTATTTTGCATCACACCATCTCCGGACCTCAATCTGCTTTCATAAAGGATTGCCAAACCATAGATAGTGCCCCACTAGCACAAGAATGCATCCAATCTGGACAACTCCAAAAGAACCTGGGTATTGTTTGTTTTTGGTAGATATTGAGAAAGTTTATGATAGGGTGGGTTGGGAATATTTACTGAATACCAAAGGATTGGCGCTAAGAGATAGAGAAAGTGGATCTATGGTTGTCTCTCTTTTGCTCATTTTTCAATCTTGATTAATGGATTTGGGCTACTTTACTACCAATAGATCAACATGGTGATCCACTTTCCCCTTTTCTTTTGACGATAGTAGTCGATTCCTTTTTTGTTTTTGAAAGACACGATAGATAGTAGTTGAATTGTTCAGCTTGATGTTGAATTCAGTCAGAGAGAAACCTTTTGAATCGGTTTCAGTGGCTGAATCTGGCCCTATCATGTCTCATCTCAATATGCAAAGATGACATGCTCATCTTTTGTGATGCATCTCATCTACAGATTACAAACCTTCAGATGATATTAGGATATTATGAAGTAGTCTCGAGGCTAAAGATTCCAAAATGAAGATATGTTTTTTTTTTCCTGGGTGGATGGGTTGTAGGGTGGAGTCTCTTCCATTGAAACACTTTTTCGGAGGGCCCACTTATCTCGTTCTCGATAGGAGCCTGTTATTGAAAGATTTCAAACTAAACTTCATGCTTGGTAGGCTGGATCCCAGTCTCTTGGGGAAGGTTTAACTGATGAGTGTGACCCTTTCAAATTTACCAATTGGTTACCTTCTTTCCAGCACTAAATGGGATCACTAAAAGGTTGAAACCAATGATTAAAAATTTCTTTTAGGAAGGTGCTGATGGCAGCAAAAGATATCACTTGATGAGTTGTAAGCCAGTGGCCTAGGCGTACGAAAGCTCAAACAATCAATGAAGCCCTCCTCCCTGAATGGTGGTGGAGATTAGGCACAAGTCGGCGATTTCTTTGGAAGAAAGCTCTAAAAACAAAATATCAGTGCGAAAAGGACAGGATTCTTGTTAGAAGCCTCAACTGAAGATCTTCCTTCTCATTTTCCTCGATTTGGAAAGGAATTCATTTTTGTGAATCTGTCTGTTCAATATAGTTGGCTGGCTGTAGGTGATGGTGCTAAAACCTTCTTTTGATCTCAAATATGGATTGGGAACACACCGCTACTGATTCAATTCCCATAGATATTTAAGGTAGCTTAAAAGCCTCATGTAATGGTCACATAGGTGGTTGCCGATTATAGTAGAAATACGTATTGGGATGTGAGGCTAAAATATGGAAGGCTGAATGAAATGGCTAATCAATATTCCTTACTTCAGTCAGTACTTTAGCAATTCATTACTCCCCAAGTAAAGAAGATAGCCTGATTTGGAAGCTAAGCTCTAATGGTGTTTTCTCAGTTAAGTCTTGGTCTCAAAAAAATTTTCAGTCAAGATCTATGTTGTCTATGTCAGGTGCTTATAAAGCTTCGTCCTTGCCGCTTCCACACGGAACTCAAGCTTTTATTCGGATTGAGATTTGTAATAGAATTTTGTCAAGTGGGCAGCTAAGGAGAAGAGGGTTACCCATCATAATTATTTGCCTGATGTGGCCAGTCAAATGAGGAAACTAACAGCCACCTTTTTCTGCATTTTCCCATTCATCCCAAAACTTGAAGCCGAATTCCAAGTTCATTCAAATTATGCCTGGTCCTTCCACAGTTAATCACCCATTTTGTCTATAGTGCAGCCATGTCCCATTATCTAAAATTGGTGAGCAACTCGGGCGAAAATCAGTGGCAGCAATTATGTGGCATGTTTGGAAGGAGAGAAAACTAAGATCGATGGCATGGCCAATGACTACCAGTAGGAGTTGGTGCAGCTGAAGATTAGTGCCTCAATTGCTGAATGTGTGAGAAAGACTTCTTTGGACTGTCAATAGCAGATATTACATAAAACATGCTCCAAGTATAAAGAACGATATAAAAAAAGAATCTGAGATCCAGTGTATGGTTGCCCCCACCAAGAAGTTAGGTTAACTGAATATTAATGTAGCTCTCGATGTGATCCCAGCCAAGCTGGTTGCTGAGGAACTGTGTGAGATGAAAATGGCCCTACTATCCTCAAATATGTTGGTCCTTGTGGTCAATTGTTCTGCTAATTCAACAGAATTGAAAGCCTTGTTGTAGGTATCAATTGTCTAAAGTTATAATAGAGGGTGATTCTTCTATAGTTATCAATTGGTGCAAAGGCACTATCTGGGCTCCTTAGCCTATTGCTTCAAAGGTAGATGAAATTCAGCATGCACCTTGCTACAAAGAGGTAGCCTTTCAGCATGTCAATTGACAGAAACTCTCAAATAGATGAGCTGGCTAAAGGGATGCAGATCTAGATTTCCTCTCTATTTATTTTTTGAGTGTATAGATGTCCCAGGATATGTTGTACACCAAGCTCGCTGTACATCAGTTTTGATACATTTAATGAAATTCAATTCACATTAGAGACACACACACACGCACAGAAAGAGAGAGAGAGAGAGAGAGAGAGAGAGAGAGAGAGAGAGAGAGAGAGAGAGAGAAGAAGAAGTAAGAATAACGTAACGTAACGTACGTACTACGTACTACTACTACGTACGTAACGTAGTAACGTAACGGTAACGGTAACGGGTAACG